CTCTATTCTTATTATATATGATCAGAGAGTTTTGGCAGCAACCCGAGTGAAGCGTCACTTGAATATTTATTTTAATGTTTTTTAAATAGTTTATTGTGTAATTTGTATTATTTGTATTTATAATATTGTGTATAAAAGGTCTGCGTAAACTCATGCTCAGTCAATGTGTATTCGTCGAGTTGACGTCAAAACTCCCAAAAAGCAATAAAAAGAGATACACCGGCTTTTTATTGACATAAAAAATATATAACTTCGACAGACTAGGCTGTATAGGCTACGCTCTTTGCCTGCTTATTGGTGAATTTAAAAACAACAACAACAATATCGTTGCCGGCTTCCGGATTTTCATTTCATTTTATTATTATTANGTGGTAGGACCTCTTGTGAGTCCGCACGGGTAGGTACCACCACCCTGCCTATTTCTGCCGTGAAGCAGTAATGCGTTTCGGTTTGAAGGGTGGGGCAGCCGTTGTAACTATAATTGAGACCTTAGAACTTATATCTCAAGATGGGTGGCGCATTTACGTTGTAGATGTCTATGGGCTCCAGTAACCACTTAACACCAGGTGGGCTGTGGGCTCGTCCACTCATCTAAGCAATAAAAAAAAAAAAAGCCAACAATACATACATACTCATGTCCATCAGATCCAATAACTCTTGTATTAGACGCCTTCAGCTCTAACACTAAGAGCAGCCTTAGGAACCCTGGTAACCGTACTCGTCGAACTCGACAAAGAGCTTGACGTGCGAGCTAATCCATGCATCAGCACGCTTATTTCTCGCCAAATCTTCTCAGCGGGTGGCGGTTCCGACCCGGTAGTAGATTCATTCGCGAAGCAGTTGCTCTTGAGTTGTTACGTCTCCTTCGAAGGCGTTCGGGCAGCTGTTAGCAAATCCCACCCCTCCTGGCTGAGCCTTTGCTCGCCCACCTGTCCTGGTGAAACTGGAAAGGCCTCAGGACCACCAGTGATACTTCAATCATAAATAACAATAATACATACGTACATACTCGTACATGTAGTAAATCAATAAAGTTGGCCTGTACTCGGAAACTTGATTTGTTCTTAGTCTTATCCGACCTCGACTCTTAACGATCATAATGAATTACGATTTTGTTAATTACAATTATGTTGTAGATAATTATTAGCATTTTCATTTGCAATTATTAATTACAGCTGCCATTTATTACCAAGAGTTAAAAGTGTATTAGTGCTAAATGAATCGATTTCTTCTGGTGACATTGCAAGCTCTGTAAACCATTTTAAATTACTTGTAGTAGACCCGCACGGATGTACCATCTTGAATCCAGTATCCAGTGATGGATTTAGGCTTGATGCCGCCACAAGCCCTGTTTATCGCGCGCGGCTTGTTGTTAGAATATATATTATTAATTATGATCCAATATTTTTAGTTTGGAGACCGCGCAGCGAAAATCGTAACGTTGGACGCCTTTTTTATGTTTTAGAGATTACTGGTGGCCCGGAGGCCGTTCCAGTTTTACCAGGGCAGGTGGGCGAGCAAGGGCTCAGCCAGGAGTTGAACGCCTCTTGGCTGGGTAGTGCGATGGCCTCCGAACGGCGGCCGGCAAGAAGTGGATGAAGAGACCCGATGACCGGGCTCAGTGGTGTGGATTGGGAGAGACTTATATCCAGCAGTAGACATCTGTGAGATGTTAATGTTAATGATGATGATTTTTATTTAAAATTTAAAATAACTTTATATACCTACAGATTTTTTTTAGAACGAAGTTCCTTATGGAACGACGCGGAGGGGTACCCTAACCGGGAAAATACGTCCGTAACGTAAGATTTTTATTATTTATGTATAGTTTTAGTATGCTGGCTATACAGTGTCTAATGTATAGTCTACGTGATGACGCCACTTCGATAAAGCGGCACGACACGAGAACCCTCTCATTGTGGCCCCCGGTAACTACATCCCGATCCTGCGGACAGAATGGAAAGCAGTCGACGTCGCCCAAAACACGTCATCTCGGATCCTCCCGATCCACTGACGGTGCTTCTAGGTACTTCAAGCACCGGTCACCGTTCTCGTCGAACCCTCAGACAGAAATTAACTCTCAGACACAGCCTACTGAGTTTCTCGCCGGATCTTCTCAGTGGGTCGCGTTTCCGATCCGTTGGTAGATTCTGCGAAGCACGGCTCTTGCTAGGGTTCGTGTTAGCAACGTCATCAGGTTTGAGCCCCGTGAGCTCACCTACAAACGTTAGGGCGAAGCTGAAATAGCCTCTCAAGGCTATCAGCATAAGTAGGAAAAAAAAGAGAAAAAAAACGTGATGACGTTTATTATTATTATTCATATAAATAGCTGTTTCTTTGTATATTATATTTTTTATAAATCATTGTGAACAAAATAAAGTTAATAACTTTGTAAAGTAGTGTTTTTCTTATTTTTATCAATAAAAAAATCATAATAAAAAATGTTTTTCATAATTATTTTCTTTATGCCTCGAATAGAACTTAATATTAAAATTTTTATAATAAGGAACTCCGTTCCTATCCGGTGTCCCACGATACCACACATCTTTTTTTTTTGATAAAAATTAATCACAATTCATTTTCATGGGAGACTTGTGTTTGCTTTTTTTCATCTCTGAAATTTTGGCATTTCCATACATAAAAGTAACCATATTTCATCTTGTTGGGTATAAGACGAACGATTGCTTAGATGTGTGGACGAGCTCACAGCCCACCTGGTGTTAAGTGGTTACTGGAGACCATAGACATCTACAACGTAAATGCGCCACCCACCTTGAGATATAAGATCTAAGGTCTCAGTATAGTTACAACAGCTACCTCACTCTTCATACCGGAACGCCTTACGGCAGATATAGGCGTAGTGGTGGTACCTACCCGTGCGGACTCACAAAAGGTCCTACCACCTGTAATAACGCAAATTATGATTTTGCAGCTTTGATTTTTAATAAACGATGTTATTCCAAGTATTTCATTAGAAAAATTGGTTGTATTCGAACACGGTTGTATCGCTAGATACAAATGCACCAGACGTCTTAACCTTTAGGCCACGACGACTTCGACTTCCCAACGTAACCGATTCTTCAACCATATTCCTCAAGGTGACATTCACGTTCTCTCTGCTGTCTCCATTAGCTATTTCGGTAGAAAAATCTCGTAATAAGAAATTTAATGAGGTTTTGCCCCAAGAAATCGCTTTTGTAGGGTATTTTTGATTTATCACTTTCTACACCGTCGCATCCGATACATAGTGAAACGAAAAAGCGATACTAGAAAAAGACAAAAATCTACAGAACATTTCTGAAAGTTTCACTGCTATTGCAAGTGTACTCCTGTACGCGTTTTTTCAGGTTTTTTAAATCAATCATTATCACAACATAGTATAAATAAAGTCGCTTTCTCTGTCCCTATATCTATCTGTCTGTCCCTATGTATGCTTAAATCTTTAAAACTACGCAACGGATTTTGATGCGGTTTTTTTTAATAGATAGAGTGATTGAAGAGGAAGGTTTATATGTATAATAACATCCATTAAATAGTGGAGAAATCAATAATAAATTACAGTTTCCGAAGCGAAGCGAGGGCGGGACGCTATTTCAAAATAAACAAAACGTTTAGAAAAAAATCTAATTTCTACGAATTGAATCATACATTATTGCCGGACGTAATGGCTCTGATGTTTTTTGGTATTTGAGGTCAGGGTGTATTTTTCCTCGTCTCGTATGTGTTTCTGTTACTCATGACATCGGAGATTTTCCAAAGCCATAGGTACGATTAAAAATAATAAAATTGTCACGGAAAATTCACATCTAAACGTTTCCGAATGCGGAAAAAATGAAGCTAGTCTCCTCGGCTAAAAGCCGTAATTCCTGAAGCGATGTGTGCGTGCTCACCAAATAAACACACCGTCTCCACCCCAGTTGCTAAGGGTGGTGCTTCGTGTGTGCGTATAAGAACGTAAAACCATGAAAGCACCCTTGAAAAGCGGACACAAGGCTTATTTTGGCTTGCCGTTGTACAATTTAAATATTCTTATCTGACCTAGGCTTCGTCGGTACACAAGTTAATGCAGAAAATATTTTATCTGGATATTCTAGAGTATAGTAATTTTACGATGTTTATATCCAAGGCAGTTTGGAATGAGCTGCGGAGATGTTTTTCGGGTCATGGCGAAAATTTTCAAAAACGAATACGAACAGTGGTATAGCGTCAATTAAAAATTTCACAGATATATTTTAAGCAGAATCGCAAATTTGACTTTAATTGTGCGGTCAGTTTAAATATAAACTTAATTGATTTCGTTAACAATATAAGAGCGATCTTTCATCGGCATAATAATTTTAATGCGAACGGGAATACCGAGCTATTTTTACAGCAAAGCGTTAAATCTGCTTACAGAGACTCGGGAGAAAAATGAATAATTTTTACCGTGATCCCGGGTTTCAAATGTAGAGTTGGCATGGGTATTTATCTCGTTAACTTCCACAAGTCACTTCACATATGTTTATATTTTGGTGGAAATTAATTTTTAATACGCGAGTTTTGCGAGCGCTCAACATCGGCGGCGCTCAGCGCATGTTTCGATTGTGTTTTGATCAGCCCAAGCAGACGTACGGCTACCTGGATCCATTACTATAATGATTGGACAGAAAAATGTTTTTAAGCGCCATCTATCCGTCAATTTATGAACAACAACACAGTTTTTCACTTTGTATTTATAAACTGAGTTGAAAATTGTGATAATCGAAATTTAAATAAAGACATCATCATTAATACACCAAATAAAATTGGATATAGTAATGAAATAAAATTAAATAAAAAAACTACTGTTCCATTAATAACTATTACCATCTATTGTCAATATCTGGAACTATTACGAATTGTTCAAACGTTTTACCGAAGAATTTCGTCCAACCAGACGAAAGGGCGGGTTTTACGCATGCGTAGAAGTGGGGCTCGTAGTAAATTCATTGAAAATCATAATAATCAGTAATATACTAGCGGGTCTTGGTCGATAACGTATTTTGACGACTGAACTCTGCGAACGTTCGTGTGCTTGCAAAAATTATAGCCGCGTGGACGCCTACACTAAATTTATAAATAAAGTTTGAGTGCAGTGAGTTCTGATATAGTGAGAATGACCAACGCTCCGGTCAAGAAGGTGCCCATACATTTACAGGTAAGACAAACTTAACGCACCTGTTGTTTTCGCGATGCATAAAACTGACCTGTTCTTTAGAAATAAACAGCTTTTAACGGCTGCTAAAAATGAAACAAGCATTTACGGTTTGAACGTGACGTATGTTTTTAAATATCAATGCACGAGTGAAATGTTTGAAAGTGAATGACCCAATTTTCCCTAGATTTCGGGTTGCCGGTTACGAATAAGAATTGCGAAACTGACTACTACTGTTTTATCAATCTATTTTAAGTCTGCGAACATGAATATGTAGTTTAACAATATCAAAAAATGAACCATTTCAACGTGTTTCTTAATTTACAGAAATGATAAAAACTTACTAAATACGATTTAGCTTGGTGCTTATTTGAATATAACGATTACCGGTACAATGATAAATACAAAATAAATCGCGTATGTACATATTAAAATTATATTTCTTATTCGAATTGTTATCGAATTTTTAAGGCAATTTTAATAAAAACTGTTAATAAATTTAGATTTACGACGAAATTAATAAAAATATATGGTATTTCTGCGTCTGCGCGATTCAAATAGTATAAATTTGCGCAGCCATAATAACCTCATGGCGACGGGACCTTGCATAACCTCCCATCGGGAAATGAGATACACTTACACAATCATCATTCATAATAATATGATTTGAACTCATGATGAACAAACTAGAACACTAGACAACGATTAGGTATACTACTTACTGTTCATATTCGTATGTTACAATGGAAAAGTAGTGAATTTTAGCCCACTGAGTTTCTCGCCGAATATTCTCAGTGGGGTCGCGTTTCCGATCCGGTGGTAGATTCTGAGAAGTACTGCTCTTGCTACGGTCAGTGTTAGGGCTCACCTACACGCTAGGGTGACGCTGATATAGCCTCTCATGGCAATCAGCATAGGTAGGGAAAAAACAAAATTCTCTCAAAAGGCAATAAAATTATATTTAAACATTGATATAAAACATATTATTATGTACTTTGTAAGAAATGCTCTGGAGTATTCAATGTCGTAAGCCCTCGCATATAGCTACAATCATATATATTTTTTTCAAACCAGGTGCCAAACCTTCTTTCTTGATCTTGGGCATGGGCGCATGGGATATGTGAGGTTCAGTGGCCGGTGTTTACCAGGCATTATACGCCTACTTCTTCCGCGATTAGCGTCCCGGTTTCAAGGATGAGACATTAGATGTTACAATGTTTAGACTGGTGGTAGGACCTCTTGTGAGTCCGCACGGGTAGACACCACCATCATGCCTATTTCTGCCGTGAAGCAGAAATGGTAAGGTAGGGAATGGAATGGAATGTAAGGGAATGTAGGAATGGAAAGGTAGGGCAGCCATTGTAACTATACTTGAGACCTTAGAACTTATATCTCAAGGTGAGTGGCGCATTTACGTTGTAGATGTCTATGGGCTCCAGTAACCACTTAATACCGGGTGGGCTGTGAGCTCGTCCACCCATCTAAGCAATAAATAAATAAAACCGGGATTTCGACCTCATAGCTCAAGATGATTCTTTTCATGCTGTATAAATAGGTTTCCCGTTGTTTTTTCATGGCCCATCTGATGTACAGTGGTGACCAGAGCTGGGCACGCAATACGCCCAACTATATTCAGAAACTAATTAATATGTAATTTTCAACCGCACATCTACTTTTTATATCGTTATGAAACCTGGCAACTTTAAATGAAAACACACTAAATATGGTACTGTCTGGTAAGAACTGGTCTAGTGATGAACTTGGAAAGTGAGTACAGGAATTCTTGAAAGGTAAACTCTTCGAGCTTAGACTCTTTAGCCTTGTTCCAAAGAGTTTTTAGCCTCCCTATCTGCCAGTAGTCTCGGGGGGTATTTCACTTACGCGCGGACGGGTAGGGGAGCTCACCGGCTCAACTTGAGAAAATTTGCTAGGACTAGGACTAGCCCTAGCTAGAGCAGCGTCTCGGATCGACTGGATCAGCATCGCGACCCACTGAGAAGATCCGACGAGAAACTGTGGGTATTGTCTGTGGGAACGAGTAATTACTATTGTATTATATCATTACAAAGCGTGTTTGAAAATATTTGAAATAAAAATTGTTAACTCGAAATACTGTTTATGGGCTGGAATAGCCTCTTAGGCTACCAACCAAGGGAAAAAAATCTTTATTTTGCTTACACGTTAGAAAAAGGTCGCAAGTTTACTTTTTTAAATTTCTCGGAGATACTTTATTAGGACGGATTAGAATTTATTATAGGGTGACTATGGAATCTCATTTTTCTGCCCTCGATATAATGCCATACAAGTCTCTCTAGTCAATACGAGCCCGACCCATATTGTTAAGCTCCCGGCTACGTGACATACGAGCGTAAGTCGAGCTTAAACTTACCAAAGAGATACAAACCCCCCATTGAATATAGTTGTCGGGTAATGTGTACAGAAAGACACGTAAAACTGGTTTGATTGATTTTTTTTATCTTAGTCAAGACCAAGGCTCAGGTCACTTGTTCATGAAGCTACATAAGACTCAATATATTCTATGTCCGTTCTTGTGTGCTTGTCACCCACATGATCTACAACCGAAGTAAACTTTTTACTGGTGGTAGGACATCTTGTGAGTCCGCACGGATAGGTACCACCACCCTGCCCATTTCTGCCGTGAAGCAGTAACGCGTTTCGATTTATGAGAACTTAGAACTCATATCTCAAGGTGGGTGACGGCATTTACGTTGTAGATGTCTATGGGCTCATCAGGCAGGCCGTAAGCTCGTCCACCCACCTAAGCAATAAAGAAACAAAACTATTCCTTCATGACAAGGTGACACTCTACAAAACTTGCATACGTCCGGTCATGACTTATGCAAGTGTAGTGTTCGCTCACGCGACCCGCACCCACACAAGCCATCCATTCCTGTTTTTGTATGTTTGAAGGCTAAGATAAGCGTTGTATTTATTATTGCAGTTCAGGTTACAGTGGCCATGGCGAGAACCTCTCTATTATATTTGTTTTCTCTGTTTTCTTCAACTAATTTTGAGGACTAGAGGTCCCGCAGTAGTGGAAATTCGACTATAATTAGTTGGAATTGTAAGTTTGTACACATACTATAATCACAAAATTCGCCAAGGCTACACTATAAAAAAATATTAATAAAGACAAACAATATTTAATCTATTCTCAATTTGACCACAGACGTCAAGAACAAAAGTTTGACAATAAATAGTATGCATGCGTGTGTGCGTCAAATACATGGTATGTTATGTGTGTAATGTTTTCTTTATAGATTTAATGTATCTTTTAAGCATTATTTTAAAAAAATATTAGCATTGTGCATTTGTTCTCTATATTCTCTATAATTGTGGAAAATTTCATACTCCTCCGTCCGCGCAATTTTCGTAAAAAGGGATACAAAGTTTTTGCTTCACGTATTAATATATAGATTGTTCTATTACGAGTCTTCATCGAAATACGTTTTAATTTCTACATGGTTGAGAAACAAACATACTAATTTAACTTTACACTTACAAACACTATTTTAATCACTATATAATCTACAAAACGAAGCGATTCAGGGCCTCTCTATCATCTTTATACTGCTACTTATATTATTTATTTTTATTACCTTATGCAAACGCTGCATCATATTTTAACTGTCTTGAAATAAAGATTCCTCGTTCGATTGTATTTTTTATGTTGCTACCTCAAAACTTTTGAGCGTTCTAAAGTGAACCGATTTTGTTGATTCTTTCTTTTTTCAAAGCCTCACGTGGTCCCATTTAAATTTTAACGAGATCTAACAGGTGGTTTTCGAGTTACCCTTAACAATGCAAATCTAATTGGCTTCGATTGCCTTAATAATATTCTCATTTGATTTTGACGAAGTCTGTTATTTTATTTGACATCTTGTCTTATTCCAAATGCCCATGTGATGGACGCCCTACATTTTTGTGTATTTGTCGATAAGAGCAGTAGGTATGCATATGCCTTCATTCGTCATGCGAGAATGCGGGCTGTCACTAGCATCTTAGTTATACGCTAGCTAAATAGGTGGTCCTATACCTAAAGAAATGTTTGAGAAACAAAAACTTAGATTTGAACTGTTTGGCTCTTTTTTGTGGAAAGCGGCGCGTCATTATAACCTTCTTACTGCATTAATAATATTCTCATTTGATTCTGTCGAAGTTTGTTCTTTCATTTGACAGCTTGTCTTATTCCAAATGACCCATGTGATCGACACCCTACATTTTTCTGTATTTATCGAGAACTAGAGGTCCCGCATTAGTCGAAATTAGACTATAATTAATTGGAATTATAAGTTTGTACACTATTATGATTGTATTTTATACTTCTATAATCACAAATTTCGCCAAGGCTACTCTATAAAAAATTATTAACAAAGGCAAACAATATTTAATTTTAATCTATTCTCAATTTGACAACAGACGCCAAGAACAAAAGTTTGACAATAAATAGTAGGCATGCGTGTGTGCGTCAAATACATGGTATGTAGTGTGTGTAATGTTTTCTTTATTGATTTAATGTATCTTTTATGCATTGTTTAAAAAAAACATTAGCATTGTGCACTTCTTCTCTATATTCTCTATAAGTGTGGAAAATTTCATACTCCTCCGTCCGCGCAATTTTCGTAAAAAGGGATACAAAGTTTTTGCTTCACGTATTAATATATAGATAGCAATAGGTAAGTCGATGCCTTAATTCGTCATGCGAGAATGCGGGCTGTCACTAGCATCTTAGTTATACGCTAGCTAAATAGATGGTCCTATACCAAAAGAAATGTTTGAGAAACAAACTTAGATTTGAACTGTTTGGCTCTCTTTTGTGGAAAGCGACTCGTCATTATAACCTCTTATCGTGGCCGCCTCTAAATATATATCCCACCCAGCCGGCCGCAACGCAAGGTCGCCGTATTCCCAAAACATGTCTTGTCAGATCCTCCGGTTCCACTATCGATGCTTTTAGGTTTTCCAAGCACCGGTCACCGTTC